ACTTTTTCATATATATATATATATATATATATATATAGGCCAGGATCTACAGTGAACTCTTTAAATGCTATTTTAGAGTAGGTATGTGAATAAGAGACTATTGTACTTTACTATTTCTTGTAAGATACGATAATAGTTTAAACCGAAAAGAAGTATGCAGATAAATGGGATGACAGATATATCTATTACTAACCACTGTGTGTGGTTGTAGTTTCCTATTTTTATGCTAAACACAAGTTTAAATTGCATAATAGTCAAACTATTACAATTGCATTAATCATTCAGACTGTATAGATACAACAGACACAGACTGTATAGTTACAACAGACACTAGGCAAAAGTAAACAACGTTTATACAGACATGATGAAAGTAAAAGCATACAAAAACACACTTACAAAGTGCAAATACAATAACTGGAAAAGAGTTTCCAGTGCTGAGGGCAATATGACGGAAGTGAAGATATATTACAATCGCACATATTAGAAATAGAAGAAAGGAGAAGATAGAACCTGGGTCTAAATGGAGTAAGAATTAAGAAAGAGACCTGAAAAGCATGAGCTGTAAGGTCGGAACAGCAACTGTGATGTCAGTAGATGGAGCGTAAAGTGAGATATCAGAGAGATAGTTGAGAATAGAGACAGAGAGCTGAGAACTTAGACAGAAAAGAGTGAGAGAGAGCTTAGAGCTTGAAAACTCAGAATAAGAGAGCAGGGAGAGAGCGAAGAGCTTAGAGAGAAGAGAGGCTCCGAGTGACCTTATGGTTTTGAAGGCAGGAAGCTATATTTATAGCCGAAGGGAGGAGAAATCTTCGCGACGAAGGTAAGTCTTGAGCGAACGTAAAGTGGAGGGACAAGACTTAAAGAAGGAAGAAAGGACATAAAGTAAAGTGATAAGACCCAAAAGCGAAAAGACAAAATTAAAAAGGAAAAGGAATCTTCTTTTGGTCGGGGATGAGGACAAAAAAGGCATCTGGGAATAGTATTCCTTTGTCGTTACATGTCGGTGGTGTTGTCGTTTTCCTGTGGCTACAATAGATCTTGTCGACTTTTGTCTTCTTATGCGTCGGTGAGGATAGTTACAGCATCTGAGAATAGTAACTCTGTTGTCTTTTATCTTGGTAGCTTTGTCGGTGGTACAATATCTTTTTGTCATATGTGAGTAGTCTTATCAAGGTCTTTGGTTTTGGCAGTAACGGGTCAAGGTCTTTGGCTGCATTCTTCTGGATCATCATCTTCTTCTTCTTCGAGATCAGTTTCTTCAAGTGAAAAATATTTATTGGTACGGGCTGGTGATGATTGGACGGTCTCTTCTGATAAGATTGGCTTTCTTCCGGCTTCTGCAAAAATCTCTTTCATTTGTTGTTCAAGAATTTCTTTGGTGGCATTCGAGTTTGCTTGCAGCATGTTCCTCAAATATGTGGGAAAATCAAAAGAAGTATTGACAGTATTATATTCTATTGGATTGGGATTGTATATAGGTTTTTGTGGAGGAATTCTTTTTGGCACTATGGTTGTGGGATCCATATTGAAGATATCCCACCATTTGACTGAAATAGTTTTTTCAAGACGTGGAATATAAGTATGGTCGGCTGTATTATTGACAGAGATTGAATATTCCCATTTCATAATCCATAGGAGTTGGTATAGTGCAACAAAGTCAAGGTGAGGGTCTGTATTGATATCAATATTATTGAAGAGAGCAAACTATTCTTGCGCTTTTTGAAAAGCAGGAGGCAAAATCGTAGCAGTTGATCCCTATACTAAAAACTAATTTTTAAACCAACTGGAGAATCTTTCGAAAATTGATAACCTATATTGAATATACCAGCTATGAGAATTATTTGGATTTTGATAATAAAATACTTTATGCCAGGCTTCTATGTACTCGGCATATTTATAATATTTGTATGAAAAATCAGTATTGTTTAATTTTTTGCCTTGAGTGGGATTGCAACCCCACTCCTCATATGAAAGCAACTTCTTGATTTGTATTTTGGAGTATGCAATTACTCTTGTATTTTGTTGGTAGTAATGGACAACAGAGATGGACCCTGTTTCCATAAGAATGGCCTCATAGTATTCACGGGCTTTTATGCCATTGGTAGGATTCAAATGGTTTATGAAGTATAAAGAAGCAAGTTTGATTGGGCCCATATTTGTATGATGGTCCTCTATGGTAATGTCTATGAGATATGCTCTTTCAATGAAAGCAGATTAGGCCTTTGGGTCGGCCTTGCTTGAACAGGAGTATAGGCTGGAGTAGATGTATGAGCTTCTGGATAAGTTATTTGATGAATGGGTGAAATGAAAGGTGAATGGGTAGCGAAAGGCGGATTTTTACCTTCAAACGGTATTATTTCCAGAGGGCGTTTCTCATTGCGGGAAGAATTGCTACGAGAGCCCATAAGAGTAGGTGGATTGGACAAAGTATTATGTTTATTAGCTGCAAAAAGCTGTAGTGCAAGTGATAATGGTGTTTCTTCGTCGTTGGCGTTAGTGTGGCCCCTCCTGCAAAAATTCACGGGTGAGAAAATCAGGAAGGGAATTGGCAGAACCGTGAAGGTGTTCAATAGTAAAATCAAAGGCAGAAAGAATGGCTTGTCAGCGAGCAAATATTTGTTTAGAAACAAGGTTTTGAACATCTTTTTGCAGAATGTCCTTAGCAGCCTTGCAATCAGTACGGATGAGAAAATGTTGATTTAAAATATCACTTTGAAATTTTGTAACATAATGGACAATAGCAAGTAATTCCTTTTTTACTGTAGAATAATTTTGTTGGGTTGGATTCCAAGCCTTAGAAGTATATCTGAGGAATTGTTCATGACCATCCACTCGTTGTTTTAGGATTCCTCTTAAACCCAACTCTGAAGCATCACATTCAATAATTTTGAAAGCAGTAGGATGAGGAAGAGAAAGACAAGGGAGAGTTTTGACTTTCTTTTTAATTAGTTGAACTGCTTTAGTATGAATATCTGTCCATGGTGGTGAATTCTTTTTTAATCTATCATGTAGAGGTTTAGCATCTATGGCAAGATCTTGATAAAAATCTATAACATAATTAAGACATCCTAAGAACCTTTGGACTTCTTTTTTGTCTAAAATTTTATCAGGAAATTTATCCGCAAATTGTATTGATCTGTCTATAGGATTAATAGTACCATGATGGATATTATATCTTAAGAATCTAATAGTTGTATGTAATAAAGTAATTTTTCTTGCAGATACAACTAATCCCGCATGTTAGACTGCATGGATAAACGTATTAGTATATTTTATGTGTTTATCTATGGATTCAGAAAAGATCATAACATCATCAATATAGACTATCATAAATTGATAATAAGCATTGAATACATCATTCATTATTTTCTGGAATTCGGATGGAGCATTTTTCAATCCAAACGTCATTACATTCCATTCATATTGACCAAATGGAACATTGAATGCTGTTTTATATTTATCTTTTTCTTGGATTTGAATTTGCCAGTATCCTGACTTCATATCAAATTTGGAAAATATACAAGCATGTGCTACTCGATCTAATAAATCTTTTTTATTAAGAATTGGATATCTTATCCATTGTAGTACTTTAATGAGTGGCTTATAATTAATTACCAATCTTGGAACTCCTCGTTTCTTTTCAGCATTTTTATTGACATAGAAAGCTGCACAACTCCATGGTGATGAGCTTGGTCTAATCAGTTTTTTTGTTTGGAGTTCAGCAATTTCTTTTCTACACATTTCTAGTAGAGTAGTATTCATTTGTATTGGTCTTGCTTTCGTAGGAATGTGTTTTTCATCAAATCCGGGTTCATATGGAAGGCTAATATTATGTTTTTTCCTATTCCATAAAGCATTGGGATGTTCACTGCAGATAGAGGTTTCTATCTGTTGTTGGAGTTGTTGAATCTTTTGTCGTATCAATGGATTTTGTAATTGTTCTTCAACATGTTTATATCTAATTTCTTGTTTTAAAGTACATAGAAATTTTTCTTTGTTTTGTAATTGACTTTTCACACTATTTATTTCTTTGAGTTTTGGTTTATGAATGAATTCAAAGTGTATGGGTACCTCTTGATAGTTTGACTTGATTCCTGTAAGATCTATAGATAATGGATATAATAATGTAAAGAATGGGACTCCAAGGATTATTGCTTGACTGAGTCCGTTGACCATGATAAATGGTGTTTGGATACATTGGTGATTATTGCAGGCTGAGGCATTAGATATTTTATAGTTTATAAACAGTCTACTGCCATCTGCAGTATTTAGGATTCGAGTTGTTTTGTCAAAATATTTTGTTGGTACTAATCCTTCATTGATACTTTTAAATCAGCACCTGAATCGATTAAGGTTGATGTTTGAAACCTATAGTCTTCTGCGACTATGATGGTGACTTGAACAAACCATTTTTGTATTATGATTTTATCCAAAAGGTTAACAGAAGGAGACTGTTCAGTTATTAGGAGTGGTTTATTTTTTGAGGTTTCTAAAATATCTTCGGGTGGAGCAGGACTATATGTGGTTACTAGATGATTAAATTCTACTTCATCAGTATCAGAATTGTGATTAGATAAATTTTGTAATTCTAGAATTTTAATTCTATTTTTAAGCTAATAAACTTCTTTCTTTACTTCATTTATCTCTTGTTTTAGGTTTGAGATAGAAGGTTCTTTTTGCTTAATTAGGTGTGCTTCACTAACTCTTTTCATAATAGAGGCAAAATTATATTCATCAGGTGTTTTATTGATAGGAGGTATTTTTACTTTTGTTTTAGCTAAATTTATAAATTTGGTAATCACAGATCTTTTTTCATCTTGAGCGGTGATTTTTTCTATAAGATCCAAAATCAAATTATCTTCTGGTGTTGGAGTATGAAGATTATGTGAGGGGATAGGACAAGTACAAGTAGATTCTTCTATTGGATGAGAAGATTCTGTCTCAGTAGAAGAATCTGATGACTTTGTCCATATGAAATTTTCATCTTGAATATTTCCTATGAGCGAGTTATTAGAATCTGTATTTGAGGAAGATGTATCATAATTCATAATATTATATAATTTTGATTTTATTGACTCATCTAATTGTAATACATCTATTTTCTTTTTTAATTTACATTGGTATTTGTAGTGACCAAGTTTTCCACATTTATAACATACTGGTAATTTCTTTTTATTTTTAGTATTTGAAAAAATCTTTTTTATAAATTTTTGTTTAGACTTTTTATATTTCTTATTCGTCTTATTTTCTGGAATTCAGATGGAGCATTTTTCAATCCAAACGGCATTAAATTCCATTCATATTGACCAAATGGAACATTGAATGCTATTTTATATTTATCTTTTTCTTGGATTTGAATTTGCTAGTATCCTGACTTCTTATCAAATTTGGAAAATATACGAGCATGTGCTACTCGATCTAATAAATCTTTTTATTAAGAATTGGATATCTTATCCATTGTAGTACTTTATTGAGTGGCTTATAATTAATTACCAATCTTGGAACTCCTCGTTCCTTTTCAGCATATCTTAGCCCCACTTGGTATCAGAGCCAAACAGTGACCAAGTTTTCCACATTTATAACATACTGGTAATTTCTTTTTATTTTTAGTATTTGGAGAAATTTTTTTTATAAATTTTTGTTTAGACTTTTTATATTTCTTATTCGTCTTATATTTTTCTTTCTTATATTTTTTCTTTTTCTTATATAATTTTTCAAGTTTATTTTTTCTATCTATATGATAACCAAATTGTTCACAGAAATCACCAAGTTCTTTGCGCTTGGTAATTTGTTGTCTATCAAGTTGTCTTTTGAGTTTTAGATCAGTGCATAAAGCTAATCCTTCAGCACATATTTCTGCTGATAATTCTCCAAGTGTATATGCGGAATATATGATAACACCATTATGTTTTTTCCTAAGTCTGTCTTTGACTTTTTCTACAAATAGGTAAGGTAGACCAGCAATGAATTTTTCTTTCCAATGGTCTAACTGGCAATCTTCTCGTAATAATAATCTTGAGAAAAATACATCCTTATACCATTTATAATGGGATAGAGTAGGGCATCTTAAGTTTGACAGCAAATCTTCTGATCTTGCTGCTAACAAAGTTGTACTGCCTACGAAGTGTAAGGTAATAGTATAAATTAAAGTGTTTACTGCATCACTTTCAGTATAGAATATTTCTTGATTTTGTTCATTTCTGACGGTCCATTATCTTGTATTGGTGAGGATTCTATTCTTTGTTTCATCATCAACATAAAAATCTCACCATCATCTTAACCATCCAGTAAATCCATTTACTATTGCTTTGCCAACCTCTTGATCAGGATTGCTAGCCATTTTATTTGCTGAGGCAAACATTGTCATATGTCTCATGACATCTAATATTTTTAGATCTGATAAATCATCTATTGTTCAGTTGACAATTGATCTTCCCGAATAAGAAACAACCTGTTGTATAGCATCTTCTTCCAGTTGTACGTTAACAGGTGTAAGTCTCTTATAATATGGTAAAGCTGTGATTGGTTTCCATGTTTTACCATATGCTATCCTATTTAGATCAGTGGGTGAAGTATCCATAAAAGCAGATTCTTGGTTTTGTAAAGTATCTTTTATAATTGGTTCCTCTTCTTGGAGCATTAAAGTCTCATATTCAGGAATTTTCATTTTGCCTTTATCAGATGATTCAGGAATATTAGGTAAAGGTAGCTAAATACTAGGTATTGGTGTAAGAATACTTAATTTCGGCGAAGGAATCCCTTTGATACCTAATTGAGCTAGTTTAGATATTAATTGATCCATAAGTGTTTTATTATCTTCTCCTAAATGAAATTTGGTTTTAGGAGGTTTGAATAAAACCGCTTTAGGAATAGGAGTTACTACCTTCCGTTGAGGGGTAACTAATCTTTCTATTCGTTCAGCTTGTTTGCCTAATGATTGCATATATAGGTTGGTATAATTATTTTGTTCTACAATATGAGGAATTAATTCATGTTTCTTTCCCATGTCCTTGGGTATAACTTTATAAAGTGTTGCAATAATATCATATAAGAATTGTAGTTGTTCACCTTTCACAGATGGACTTTTTATTCCTTTTAGTATAATACGTTTTTCAGGTGGCATACGAGCACTGAGTTGTTTAACCCTAGACGTGTCAAAGGTTTTATGGCTATTTGTATTAATCCAATGTGTAAATACTTATAATTATTTTCTTTATGTTTTTCAATTATTTTTCTTGATAACAGTTGGAAGTCTTCCTGGTTTTGTGTCACTGATAAGCTTTCCTCAACTGTTTTAATAGCATATCCAAGTTTAAATTTAAATGTTCCTTTTTGATAAATATCGTTGATAGGTACTATGTTCAATATCATTTATGACTATCTCTTCCTTATTCTTACCTCTTAAGGTTTGAGGTTTGGTTACTGTGTTACCTTTAAGATTCCTAATTAAATTTGCCACCTGTAGGTTGCAGATATTGACAATCTGGACGACCAAGGGTCCCGCGTGT